GAAAGATCAGAATGTGCAAATCCTTCGATCCCTTCAACAAAGAGCTTTATCTAGAGGTCGATCCCAACCTTTTTACCCATTTTGGCCAAATGTTTTTAGACCTTTAAAAAGGCTTTGTCCAAAATGTTTTCTTTAGCCATGCTTAAATCCAATCATTTTTATAATGTTCGAGCTCATCTTTCAAAATCAAAATATTGTGACTTTCATAACTGAGTAAAGACAAAGTAGGAATGAGTGGAAAGAGGGAGAATCCTCTCGAAAAACCTTGTTTTCCCGGAAAAATTGCCACAAAATTGGCTTAACCATACAAAAAGAAGCTTAGTCGTAAAATTTTGATGCCTGGCCAACCATGTTCTAGCTGACCGGACATAAAAAAGATGGTGGGACATCTTTTGGGGGGCTAGACAAATTTGTCGAGAAACAAAGCAATTTCAGGGAAATGGTCCCCCATGTATGTGGAGGTGCCACCTTCGCAATTCTCACGCGAATTGCGAACCCAACAATCTTAGGGCCTATATAAACACCTATCCTTCAAGAGAGAAAAGTGAGAAGAATTCTTATTAAGCCTAGAGACACCAAAAATTCTCTAAATTTACAATTCTTCAAATTTTCTCTCTCTACATATACATACACCTATACATACACCATTGAAGGCCATGGGTTCATGCTCAAGTTGCTGGAGATTGTGGATCAAACTCAAAAGATCTAAGAGTGCTTGGAGGAATGAATTGCTAATCAAGAGGCTTATATTCCTCAATTGAATTAAATCCACCAACTTTCTCATCAGTTTCTCTTCCACTTTCTTTTCTTTTCTCTCTTGCCAAACATTATAATTCTGAGATTATATATTGATTATCATGTGATTGGCCTTGTAGATAGTGGGGGGAATTAGCCACCCCTCTATAGGATCACTTGGATTACTTGAATTCTCACTTTTTCTTATTTTCTCACCTCCCAAACACTTCATTTTCTGATTTTTTTGGTAATTTAGATTAGTTCTGGACTTGTATAGAGGGTTCTAGTCCTACCTTATAGCTTGTTTTGATAATTGTTTTGTTTACTTTCATTTTCCATCACTTTCTCACTAATTTTCTCATCATCCAAACAAGTTTAATTTTCATAATTCAATCCTTTCTTACATTCTAATGAGCTTTAGGATTGTTTTGTGATATTAATTGGTTGATCCATGGGTTTAAATTGGTGATTATAGTGTATTTCAATCTCATTTTCTTTCATGTTCTTCTATTTTCTCTTGTTTTCTCTCCACTTTCATAGAAACCAAACATGGCTTCCACTTAGAAGTAATTTGAAATCTACTCTCTCAATCTACTCTTAACATGGATTTGAGTATCTATGTACTCTTTTCCATATAAGATGATGTAGATTTACATTCACTTATTTAACTTGCTTCTTGTTTAGTTTGTTAGAACAATCTTCTGTGTAGAATAAATAAATTGAAACAAATCAAATAAATAAAATAAATTACGTACCGAATTTATTTTTACCAAACCGAATAAATAATTAAAAGATCAAGTCGAGTGTGAGACACTCTGTCCTTAAGATAGATTCGTTCCGCTACGGTGCTCACGGAAAAATGGCGTCTATCTCCCAAGATACAATGATCTTCACAAATTGTAGTAGTACTCCAAATAATTTGTTCGGCGAACAAAATCTGTGTTCTTACTCTTTGAATTTTTTCCTAAAATAATATGAAGATTATATCATGCGAGAGAGCCAAACTAGAAGGCAAATGATGATTTTCAGATTCCCTAAATGCTGGAATAATGCTGGTATTTATAGGCAAAATAATCTGCCCGAACAGGTGCAAATTTTGAATGAACAGATGCAGTCCAAAATTCAACAGATCTACTGGACAGATTGATTTGTTTGAACTGTGCAATTTCTATCTGTGTAATTGCAGCAGTTATGAGCAGTTTCCAGTAGTTAACCTGTTGGAAATTTTGAACTGAAGGATAAAAATAAAATGGATAGAAAATTAATTCAATTTTTGGCACAAAATTTGAATTTGATTTCATTAAAAATTCAAATAAATTTTATCCAAAAAAATTAATATAGGAACCGACCCGACCCACAATCGCGCTCAACACGGCTCGGCCGGCAGCAGCGCGCGCATGTGTGGTGGTTTGGGCTAAGGTTCACTTTGTCCATAACTCCTCCATTCTACAAACTTGGGGTCCCCCTCGGGGCCCAACCCAAGTTAGTACACTAAGAACTTATATACTCACAAACGTTTTCTTAAAGTTTCAATGTGGGACAACCCATTTCAAGGAAACCCACATTTACTTCTTTAATATCCATTCCACGAACTCGAAAACGACGTCAAGTTCTCATTCACTCATAAATGGTTTTGACGAACCGTCTTCACCATGTGACTTACCATGCGGCAAGGAACACGTCATCTCTTCTGACCCACCCTAAAAGACGTTTGGGGCCCACTTAAAATTGGGTTCAAAGTTGGCCCAAAATAAGCCTATAAAAACCATTATTTCCAACATAGTTTCCATTTCATGTTTATTTCTTCTATGATTTTCATTGATTTCCTATATCTTTGATGATCAAATAAGTCTATCATCTCATCCCTCCCTCTATGATGAGTATGGTAGTCCTCATTTTGGTTTCTTTCCTATTTTGCTTTCATGATCATCATGCGATTTTCTATATCCATTGGTGATCAAGGAAGACCATCATCTCATCTTTCCTATGGTGAGAATGATGGGTTTAACTTATTTTCATTCCTTGTTCTCTTCATTATTTGATTGCTTCTATGATTATCATGTAGTATCTTGTAGTGTTTTGTAGCTTTTCTCTTTCATTTGATAGCTTTGCTAATCGAATCATCCATGTTAGTTTTTATTTTAGTTAGTAGTTGCTTCCATTATCCTTGTTGAGTAGTCTCTTTTTTGTAGCTTTGATGTATATCTCCCTTTTATTTAGAGCTTTCCATATCTTGGCATCATATTTTCTTTATTTCATCATTCTTCCATGTTTTGTATCCAATTTTTTTCATAAATAAGGCGAGGCTCATTTTATCTCACATTTTCTTTATTTCTTATGTGATTATGAGTGTTACACCATTTCTTGAAATGGTTCATATATCACATGTTAGTAGCCAAGTTTTTAGTTGCATTTTTTTTTTTGTTGTATGTATTGCATTAGTTTCTTTGGATTTGGATCATGTTGTCATGCCCCGTATTTTATCACTCCGATAACATTACCAATATTCATAAATTAAGTCCATTTACAAATAACATTTCATCCTTGGATGAAATGATGAATAATTAAATATACATATTCTTTCTCGTTATACAACAATGACATTTACATACAAATAAAAGAAATGTCCTAAGGCTAACAATAAAAGAGGGGATACTACTCTTTACAAAAAAATAGCACTCAGCCAAACAACAAATAAAGTAGTACAATTCATCACTACATTATACTTATGAAATGGTAAAACCCATTGTTTGATCTTCAAATCCGAAAAGCATTCCCTGTACATATGTACAGGCAGGGGGTGAGCAAAGCCCACCGAACAATCTCATATTAAAACATTAAAAGATATGCAGAGACAAAGATACTTATACATATACGTGAAATCATATCATGTCAAAACCATATGATTTTATTACATAATCTCTTAAATCCAAGGCCTGCATATTCATATGCCACTAAGACCAATCTTCTTCCATTTTCCTTCAATTCATTTCCAGTTCATATATGAACTCAATTCATGAGTTAAATTCTTTATTGTTAGGTCCCTATGTTGTCAAATCTGGAGACAAAACATTGTGTTGATTCAAATATAATTTTTTTGTGTTTTTGTTCTGTCCGCTCGAGCGTAGACTTGTGAGCTCGAGCGTAGATTAGCAGGTCTCAGTATTTTGTCAGGACAAGCAAAAATACTGGTGGGTGTGATTTTACGCTCGAGCGGATTCTCCTACGCTCGAGCGCATCTCAGCTTGTTCGCACGCAGTTTTTGGTCAGTCCGCTCGAGCGGGCTGTTTTGAGCTCGAGCGGAGATCGCGGGACAGATTCTATAAATTCGCGTATTGGGTCAGATTTTTAGGATGACTTCTCCAGATCTTCTTTTTGGTTTCTAGGGTTTATATCTGGGGATACTTTGGGAGTTTTCTTTGATGTTTTTATTGAGTATTCAACTCATGATCTAAAGAGAGTACATCAAAGGTTTGTTTGTTATACACAAAAGAGAGAGTTATTCTTCAGTTGTGGATTCTGAAGAATTCGAGCCTGAAGCTTTGGTGGAATCCGGAGTGGCTCATCAGAAAGACAATTCCGTGGTGAAGATGGGGTTGGAAGAGGCACATAAAGGTTGGTTCAATTAGGCGTTGTGGATTCGCTAGGTAATATAAATTTACATTACTTTTTCTTTTATTATTGTATCATAAGTTAATTAGTACAAACTTATAATTAATTCATGTGTGTCTAATTGGAGACACATGTGTTTAAGCAATGGACACAAGTATCCAAAGAGTATACGGATCTAAAAAACTTTTTAAAAAATATGCCACATTTTGACACATGTTGGGAAGTGTCCAACAATTGTCGATATCCAACACGGACACGCCACGTTCTTAGAAGTGTGTGCTTCTTAGCTATTAATTTAGGATAAAATAAATATAAAAAGAAATGAAGGCCAACAATTAAAGAAATTCGTACCAATATTAAGGGAGAGACCCATTTGGGTTGGGCGAAGGCTTTGATAGAAACCTTTCCAATATTGTAAACCATCGCCAAGATCGCCTACTTCACCCAATATGGGAGAGAAGAATGACCTTCCAACAACAGTATAACTGCAATAAAAAACATATGCAATCAGTGGAGCCATCACACTCCTCAACCTAATGAATAGATATCAAGGAAAATCATAAAAAGCAAATATGTTTAATTCTTTTAAGTCGAATGAGACTCACATAGTGGCAAATATTTGTTATGATGGATTTGCAAAATACACAAAAGTTGTTGAAATCACAAGAAGAAAAAATCTAGAAGGGTCCAAGAAATTACGTGTAGCACAAGTTATTCGTCAGCATTTGCAAGGCATCCGCAGTAAATTTGTTTTCATCATAGAGCACATGGTAGTGTGTAGGCCGGCTTGTTCCCTGCTCAGATAAAGCAAACTCACTCAATAATTATTACTAGTACAATGAAATACTCGCTCGAACACGCATCAAATCAAACTGGTGTGGTAGATTGGGATCAACTAAGCAAAGGATAACAGAGTTTACCTGAATACCCGCATGGCTGCAAAGATAGAAATCAAATTGCGTAGGGTGGCAAATCTTTGTTTCAACAACAGTACCTAATGATCACCAAAAAAGGAAACAGTTCCCAATGAGCAAGAAGTGCTCCCACAACATGGGCATGTATAGTTCAAATGAGAACCAAAATGCATACCTGGTAAAATATTGCCACTCCTATCTGTTGAATTGCGATCACCATGTTCTGCAGGAAAGAGGCGGGTGTGGTGTCTCTTCTGCACCACCACAAAGGTGACTCGTGGCAAATAATCTGCCTCCAAGGAGACACAAGCCTGACAAAAAGACACTGTTATATATGTAAAAAAAAACATAGAACAAAAAACTTAACCGTTCAAGAAAAATAAGATTCCATTCGGCGGACAATGTTTCTGAGAAAGGGCTTCACGTTGCACAACAGTTGGCCCAAAAACTAATTTGTTACCTACCCACCTCTAATAAAGGCTGTCATTTCAATTAGATAAGGTAATCTAGCTAATTTTGTACCCTTTTTTTTGTTGTTGGAAGAGGGATTGGGGGTTGGGGCACTAGTAGTGATGCTGCTCAACATGATTTTTTTTGACAAATAAACAAATATTATTAGAAAGACATCAAGACGATGCAAAGAATACAAAACACAAGCCTAAAACAAATCAATGCTCAGCATGATTTTAGTAATCATGGTCACATGAAAAACAAATCAATCTGCCATAGGTCAAAAATATTGTCACACATGTAAGATGAGTACTTCCTATTTTTAAACAATAATGTGTACCTTTCTAATGGCATCCATCTCATATAACAGAACTTGATTGAATTGACCTTCACTAACTCCATCTCTGCAATAAATACCAATGTCAAAATGTTGCATAATAGAGACAGTAGTCACTTGCATTCTCAAAGCAAGGATTCACCTGTAAAATATGATTCTACAAGGTTTTTGCCCAGTTGATCGCCGAAACGAAATCAACATATCCCTGCAATAAATGTCAATTGAACGCGAGCAAAGATTATGCTACATTTACCACAACAAATATGAAGAGAAAAGCCAACTTTTTACCTAATCATTCCTCCGTGAACTATCTCATTCTTAGCATTCAGAGAAGTTTTGTAGAGATCCTGTATAATTTCCTCCCTGTGAGGCTGTGCAGAGACCAATCCTCTGTATTTAGTTGCCTCTGGCCAGTCCATCGATGCAACCACCTATAACAAATTCCTTTTTAAAAGCAAGATAAATCCGACATTAAGCAAACCAATAAATGAAAAAAGATGCAAACAACTTACTGCAGCTATAGATGGACTAGAATCCTCCCCGGGTTGAGGATGAGTCACATCAGCACCAAATATTATCGTGGGTAGATCAGTTAGAAAGGGAATTTTTTTCTCAAGAGCATTAGCCAACACAGTGTTCCGTCCACCAGCCTGTAAATAATATTATTAACAAAACGAGGGGGAAAGGAAAATCAAATTACCAAATTTTTAAATAATGAAAACCAACATGAATATTTTGAGCACATATTGAACAACACAAACACCTTCACATTGATCTTTAGAGAAACATTTTCAAGATACTGCTTGTTGCACTTCATTGCTTGCTTGGGCTGACAACACTGGGATATGATTCCCAACTCTGTTTCACACACCCGCTTAATCCTTCCTGTCAAAAGTAAAATCTCATCAAGTCAA